CGGTTCTGAGCCATGACCCGGTTCTGAAGAGCAGCAAGAATCCTGGTCCGAGGCTCAAGAGAAAGACCCGGGACCAGGTGCTGGCGAGGAGAACGGTTCTGTCAGCTGCTTGTGGACGAACCACGAGGAACTCCACGAGACGACCCGCTGCTGAGGAACCAGAACCAGGTTTGTCCCGTGAACCGGCGTCCTGTCCGGCCGGAGACCGGGTCGCTGCTCCAAAGACCCAACGGAACGTTAAAAGTCCCGGTACCAAGAGACTTCCTGTTCCACGTCAGGAACCAGGCGGTCCGGAGGAAGCTCCCGTCAAATCAAACGGGGACGATGCAGCTGCGAGGGTCTGGAACCACGGCTCCAGAACCCAGAACCACAGCTCCAGAACCCAGAACCACGCCTCCAGAACCCAGAACCACAGCTCCAGAACCCAAAACCACGCCTCCAGAACCCAGAGCGAAACGGAGCGAACGAACCCGATCAAAGAAAGACGAAGAGCGGCGCCGAAGAATAAAGGTCCACGCAAGAACGCAAACGATGCGTTCAAGGTTCCGCGTGGAACGTTCCTTCTGAAGCAAGAAGCCGACGAGCCGAAGACGGAGAACGTGGAACCTGAAGGGACAGGCCGGAAGAGGAAGTTCCACGTTAAGACTGAACCACCGTGGGGGTCTGAAACCAAACATCTGGATTTCCCCTCCGTGGACTCAAAGAGGAGACGCAGAACTCGCAGTGGAGGTGAAGACGAGCTGCGTTCATGGCTGACGGAGCGAAGAACGAAGGTCAGCTCGGAGGAGGCTGCTCGTTCAAAACGCACGAGGAAGGAGCCGAGGAAGGAGAGCCGAGGAGGTCCAGGAGGAGAACCAGGGGAGCGCCTGATGAGACGTTTCACCCGTCCGGGAGTGGAACGGCTCAATGCCCAAGAACAGCTGATCATGACTGAAGGCCGAGCTGCAAGACGAGAAACTGCGCCGACAAAAGTTCCACGCAGGAAATGGAACACGTCCGAACAGAATCTGCCGGAGGCGTTCCCAATCTTAGATGCAGCGCACGAGGACGTGACGGGGAGACGTACGGAGGGAGCCAAACGGGAGGCGACGAAAGACGTCCAGACTGCTCCAAGAGGTCGGACTCCGGAGACGAAGTCCACTTCGGACGAGATGAGACCGCTGCGCACCCAAGGAGGACCTCTGGAGCCAAAGAAGACGGTTCCTCCGGACGTCAGCTCAAAGTCCGTGACCACGAAAACGTGTCGGAAAAGACGACGCACGTCAAAGAGCGAGACTTTAACGGCACGAGAACAGAGGGAGTCCACGGACGGGACACGTGGACACGATGCGGGTGCTCTGGAGGACAGAGACATCTGTCAAACATTGAACATGAGGCGGAGGAGAGACGTCCCTATGATCAAGGTGGAAGAGCCAGAGTGTCCTGTGATGGATCTGGTCTACGAGGAGCCGAATGAGATGCCAGAGTCTTCATTTACGGCGGATTCAGGTTCATCTCAGACAAAAACCAGGACCAGGAAGAAACGAGGAAGACGTAAAACTCAGCAGACGGACAAAAAGGACATGCAGCAACCTCGTCTTTGTCCTCTGGAAGCCGGTTCTTCTAACTCCAGTCTGTTTGACAAAGATCTCAAGCTTCAGCCGGAGGACGGGAACGAGGTGGCGCCGAGCTTCAGCTCTGAGCCTGAAACCTCCAGACGCCTCGGACCGGCGCAGCGAGTCCTCCGGTGCTCCTTCTGCCGCCGCACTTTCAGACACATTCCTGCTTTCACGCTCCACAAACGGATTCACACCGGAGAGAAACCGTACGGTTGTCCCGTCTGCACCAAGAGGTTCTCCAAGCTCCCCCAGCTCCTCCTGCACTCAAAGGTCCACGGCAAACCCTCGGCCGTGCGCTGCCCGTGTTGTGACGAAGCGTTCAGGAGCAAAACGGAGCTCGTGCTCCACTTCAAGGTTCATTTGGACAAAGCTGAGGGTTCTCAGACGGACTCGGAGGACACGGGTCGCAGGAGTTCCAGTTCCTGGAGCGTTGGAACCTTCAGGTGCTCCGTTTGCTCGAAGGAGTTCAGGAAGAAGTCCACCTTCGTAATGCACCGACGGAGACACGGCATCAACGCATTTGTGGTTTCTCAGAGCAGTGGTGCAGCGGTCGTCACTCCGGTAGTCTTTAAATGTCCGATCTGTAAGCGGCTCCAGCGGCGCTGGTGCAGCTACGTGCTGCATTTACAGTCGCACGCCTCGGGCACGTCTCACCGCTGCGCCGCGTGCGGACAACGGTACGACCAGTCCGTGGAGACGACGCGCCACTGCTCGGTCTGCTGCAGGAACAGCGGCGAGGAGGCGGCGTGCCGAGGTTCCCTGAGTGACATCTGGAAGGAGAGTCCAAAAGAAGGTGAAGCGCCGTTAGAACCGCCATCGAGAGCCTCCGCGCCTCCCGTGTGTGAAGACGCCGGCCTCGCTGCTCCGTCTCCAAGCTCCGGGCTCAGCCCGGCGTCCGGTCAAACGGCTCGACGGCGCCCTGGCCTCCGTCTTCCTCGACTTAGCGGCAGGTTTCTGTGCGGACGCTGCGGACGGACGTTCGCTCGATGGAACGCGCTGTGGCTCCATAATCGCCTCCATCAACAAGGAGGCGGAGCTTTCCGCTGCAGCCGCTGCGAGCTGGACTTTCACTTCCTGGGTTTGTATGTCCGTCACCTGCAGGAACACGCAGCTCGCACGCCACACGCGTGTCCATCGTGTCCCGCCGCGTTCACAGCTGAAGCGGACTTAAAGACGCACGTCTCTGTGTGCCACCAACAGCTGGACCGTCTGAGCTGCAGAACCTGCGGGAAACGTTTCTGTGTCCGGAGGAACCTGAGGAACCACCAGCTGCTTCACAAAGGAGCTACGCCGCACGCTTGTCTACCGTGCAGACGCTCGTTTTCTTGCTCCGCTGCCATGACGGCTCATCTGCAGACTCACAGGAAGCGGCTCGGCGTGCCTCGGCCCGCCCGGGTCGACGAGCCGTTTATCTTCCCGTACCGCTGCGGGAAATGCCCCGGCAGGTTCTCCAGCGCCGACCTGCTGCAGGCGCATCAGGTCTGTCACTACGTCGCGGGAAAAAACCCGGAGAGTTCTCCGGAGAACTTCCTCTTCTCTGATCTCAGCGTCCGTAGAGACCCGTCCGATCCGACCCGGTCGGAGCGACCTGTGAGCAACAAGAAGCACCTGTTCAGGTATCCTCACCCGGACCGGCTGTACGTCGGCTCCTCGGAGCCGCCCGTCGTCGTTTCTGACACGGAGGAGGCAACGAAACCGGACACGCCGGAAAAATCCCTTCAGCTGGAGGTTTTGATTAAATCTTTAATCCCGGAGAAATGTCTGAGCGACTGTGAGAGCGATGCAGCCGAAGGTACGTACTGCGCAGCCGAAGGTACGTACTGCGCAGCCGAAGGTACGTACTGCGCAGCCGAACGTACGACCTGCGCAGCCGAACGTACGACCTGCGCAGCCGAAGGTACGACCTGCGCAGCCGAAGGTACG